CTGAATTTTGAAAAGCCTGCTTGTTGATTGTGGTTGCAGTTCATTATCATTGAAATGCAAAGACCACCAAATTAGCTCAAATCTCTTATGGCTCATTAGTTGGCCGAAAATTGGAATTTCTAAAAATGGATCTGTTGACCAATACTCTTTCAGATTATCCCTCCTTGTATGGCCCAATAGAAAGATTATTGCAAAAAATTTTCTCATTTCTGCTGAAGTGACCTCCACCGACTTCAACGCCTTATAACTTCTGTCATACTCTTCATGGTGTTGGAAATAGTATCTGTTATATACAACTGATTTATTGGGCCATCACAACCTAACAATCATAAAACTTCAAGGACAATGCCTGGGTACAGTTCACTACATGTTTCAGCCACTAGTGGCCATCATCCGGCAAATACACTTCAACAAACGTACACCACTGAACTGCAGCACGTAAAATCCGATACAGTGTCGTAAATCATTTAAGACAATTTTCATAAGGATACGATATATAGGTTATTCAAAACTGATATAAGTCATATAAAAACAAAATTAAAACCTGATTGATGTTTTTTTAATCTATATATTGTATTCTTATGAAAATTGTCTTAAATGATTTACGACATTGTATCGGATTTTATGTGCTGCAATTCAGTGGTGTACATTTGTTGAAGTGTATTTGCCTGATGATGGCCACTAGTGGCCGAAACATGTTGTGAACTGTACCTGGCTATTGTCCTTGAAGTTCTTTGATTGTTGTGTTGTGACGGCCTAATAAATAAGTTGTATGTATTGTAACACAGCAGGATGCATGAAATGAAAATTAATGTCTGTTAGTTTCATGACCATAGCATGTCAAAGAATCTATCTCCAAAAAACAGTTCCGCTACTTCAGACACTTGTGGTGTGTCCGATGGAATTTGCTTCACCCCTGGATTTCCAGTAAACTGTGCCAAAGCAGGCTTTTGTCTACTTTTCTCCATGTGGCTGTCCCCGCAATGTTGCTACCCACACTTTTGTTGGAGCTGCTGTCACTTTCACTTTCACTGTCTGTGGCCACAATTTTTTGTTTGCCCCTGCCACACTCACTATCAGTTTGTGAGTCGCTGTCACTAGCAGAGTCACAAGGGATGTCAGATAGCTCATTGCAGAACAAGTCAGATATTTCTTGTTCTCCGAGAAAAAGCTTGGACCTCAACCTCTTCCGGCCTTGATCAATTTTGCACTAGTAACTTCCTGGTGCATGCACCTGGAAGATGAGCAAAGGCATTTTCTTCTGGAGTGGGAAAGGAAAACAGCAGGGTCATAAACAGCAGGGTCATGTTAGTGACTACGAAGCAAACATTCAAGAGGTCTATCACGCACCAGTCATGCGTCTGCCTGGCGCCAGTGCTAGGTATAGTGTGTTTCAACACAGCGTGTACTAAAATCATAATAATATGCCACCAGTCCACCTCGTTTAAAAGCGCTGGGCATAAAAATATACCACTGGTCCGCAAAGTGTTAGGATCCATTTAAATATTATCTTCCCACCTATGCCTAGGGCTTTCTGGCTTTCTCAACAAGTCCTATATGCATTCCTTTTCTCCCCGTTCCTGCCATATGAGCTGCCCATCTGATCTTTTTTGTCTTGATCATTTTAATTGTGCTTGTCAAAGGTTACAAGTTATGAAGCTCCTCATTATACAGTTTTTAGGTACCATAGAAAGCGCCACTGCAGTGACGATTATTTTCACAGGAAGGCACTGAGCTATGAACTGAATACTTTCTAATGATTTTGATAGCTGTAGAGCAGAACATATGTACAAAACTGTTCTTTTGAGTTGAATGTGATACGTGATGAGAAACAGCCGTAGCAAGAAGAGCATATGCTATTTAATGTGTGGTGTTGTACATCCATTTCTCAGAAAGATGTGATAATTTTTGCAGAGCTATACAAATTCAGAAAACGTTTTAGAGGGTCCATATGGTGAGACATACCCAGCATCTCATGGTGCAGATGAGGCCGTGAACGTAAAAGCTGAGGCAGTCTCAGATGCAGAAGAGGCAGCGAATTCTGTCCCAATAACATTGCCAGAAATAAAGCCTGAACCTGAGGTGAGCTGTATGAGCACTGTTAGGCAGATAACACAAATGTGCAGAAGTGCCACTTGTCTTTCTGATCTCTATCTCTGTCTGTGCATGTGAAACAACTCCGCTGTGCTGTTGACTAGATTTCGAAGGTCCCCCCCCCCCTGAAATGTCTCTAGGCAACTGTAGTTTGTTGACTGTTACATGTGATGTACCACTCCATTTTCTTTANTAAACAAATCTAGTATAGATGAAATTAAATATTGTGTAAACTGAAGAATGTTTGAGATAAATTCCATAGCAGGAAGAATCTTACACATTTTCCTTGTCTATCCAAGCCGCTGAACAATGCTCTGGTACTACATCATAGGGATCCCAGAATCTATCAATGCTGAATATTATCATTTATTTTTCTCTACCTTCGATGTGATCTCTATCTGTGTAATAACATAGAGTTGTCATTATGTTAAGGATTTGTAGCAGGATAATTAATGATTTTCTAAGTGTTTGTGACAATGTTTGGCAGATGTATTGACTGCTGCCCTTTGTTTGAATTGTTTGAAATAAATTTAATATACCTAAGATGCCTCAGTAACTGCCAAAAGGTTACTGGTTGTCATGACAAATTTTTTGTTATTTCCTAGTGTACAGAAAGGACAGTGACTAAACATTAGATAGAGAACATGTAAGACACACAACATACCTTTTCTTTGGTCTAGATTTTTTTGTCGTTGGAGGAATCTTGCTTATAAAATGTCATTCTGTTAGACGGGGCACTGTATTGTCTGGTGAATGTTGACCTGCCACTTGATGTTCCACAGCACTCACATATTTCACAAAAAGTCCCTCACTCAACTGAATTCTGAATGACAGCTGATCTGTAATTTTGCCTGTGTTATCTCTATATATTATCACTGCATTCAGTATTGAGGTGTTCAAGAGCCTGCAAAATAACTTCATGTACCATTTATTCATGTGCTTCCTCTCAGTCAAATAAGAGTGAAGCAGCTGGTCCTTCAAATCAACCCCTATCATTGACTTGTTGTGTAATCCAATACTGAAACTGGCTTGGCCACTTTCTTGCCTCTAATTGTAACAGTCCTGGTTTCATGACTGATAAGTGGAGATCATAGTTAACGATTTTTTTGTCGCACCACTTTGTGACAGAAAGAGGTCCAGAATGTTGTGCCACGATTTTGCTTTTTTTTTGGTTTAGTGTTTTCCACTTTTGGTGGTACGTTATTATGGCTCAGAGTCCCAACACCATCGGTCTTGTGTGTGACTTTCGGTAGCCTGGCTAGAGATGGGGAATTAGAAATTATCCATCCACACAGTCCAGCCTTGTTTCAGGAGAGATTCTACCAGTTTCAGGACAATGGCTGAAGTTTTATTGGTGTCCGCTGTGGTCAAGGGGGAGTCAAGTGCTTATCATTGCCTGTATATACAAGGAAGGACCGTAAATACCCCGTGGTGGAGTCACACAACTCATAAATTTTAATTCCAAATTTGGATGCCTTGAGAAGGGGGTACTGTTTGAAAGACAGATGGCCTTTCCAAAGTGTCAATGATTCATCAACTGAAATGTCCTGGTTTGGGAGATACAGTTCCTGAAATTTGTTATTAAGATGTGAAATTACTGGGAAAATTTTGAAAAGTATTTCTGGTCCTTCAAAAGTGCTGATGTTTTCATTGTCATCGAAATGCAAATATTTACATATTAACTCCAATCTGTCTCGTGTTTTAATGTCTCTAAATCTCAGTGTGGAAATTACTCTTTTCGTGGTAAAATATGACCAAAGAGTAGGTTTCTGTATAATGCCCATGAGCAGGAACAAACCCAACACAACATAAATTTCTCTCTCTGTCACAGGTTTCCATGCCCTAGTATGCGACTTGACTGATAGTTCACACCCACATAGGAACTGCTCCGTGTATCTGTTTCTGTGCCTATAGTGTCAATAAGTTCTTTGTTGAAAAAACTCAAAAACATCCACAATTTCCGTGAATGTTTCGCAGGACCTCGAGCTCTGACACTACCCTTCATATTTTCCCACACTCCTCTATAGTTCTCCATATTCTCCCGAATGAAGTCTTGAGTAGCACTGTAATCAACTTCATCACTGCCCTCATTTCCCACAGCAACAAGCAAGGCACGATCATCTATCTCAGTGGTTCTCAAACTGTGGGACGCGACACCCAGGGGGGAGG